TGATATTAGGTATTTTTTTGTACCATACCTAAAGTTACTATTCGTGCACGATTATGCCCCTTCACTGACATATTACTGCATTTTGAAAACATATGTACTAAAGTAATCAAAGCAGCCTACAGCTAAACAAGTGATACCAACACTGTCAGGATGGCTGAGGCTAGCGTGACGGCACTAAGTAACAGGCCTGGAGAGAGGTGCAGACACTGTGATATTCAACTGAAAAGTTAATAAGCTCAAGTCATTATCCACTTTAAGCCCAAAATTTATGATTCGCACATGCCTATTATCCTCAGTATGAAGCCAAAGGCGAACCAAGTAGTAGTCCGTTGATTTATTACCGAAATAGACTACAATTTGAATACCAAACTGGATGCTTCGCTTATTTTTGGAAGGTTGCGATAAAAAATGCACTACTTAATTGGCTGAAAAACAAAGCCTTGTAACACAATCATGTGCATGCTTACATTCTACAAGTCATTTCACATGTATACACATCATTCTATATCAAAGCTAACAGAATTTTCAAAAAAGGCCGCGAGAGTTATGAGAATGTCTTCTTCATTGCGCGTTCATGGGACTCTGTGGACATTAGTAAAGGGGATAACTGTCACAGTATGTTGACTAATTGACGAAAATTTGTTAGCTTTGTAACTAATGGCTTTATGGGCCATGCTGCAACAGCAGTGTTAAAAGCCAGCCAATATTAAAGGCTATCCCGACTTAAACAATTCACGAAATGCCAAGCGGCTTCGACATATTCATTGTCCAACTTTTGTGTTCTAATGTCGGATGCAAAAACCACGCTCAGAAGCTCAAGAATTTGAGCCGTTAATGGTGGGAGGAAGAGTGACATAGTCGTACTGGGCACGTCGTCACTATCTCGACAGTGTGCCCTTGATAGATGCATCCGCGTCATACTTCCAAGATAGTAAAGGTGCGTCCGAAGCAACCACGTCCGCAGAACATGCTGAGGTCTTCCCCGAGTGCGCAATTTTCGAATCGGGTGACAGAAAAGGCAAATTTTTAGCATTCCATATCTTGAACCTTGTTGCTGTACAGAAATTGTGTTAGTCTTTAATATTCACTGCCTTTGAAACTAGAATTGAAACATATCCCAAAATTTTGTTCATTAGTTTTGATTAACATACTGCAACGGTTGTCCCCTTATCTAATGTCCTCCAAGCCCCACAAACACACAGTGAGGAAATCATTTAAGTAACTCGTGTCGTTTTTTTTTTTTTCTTTTTTAATTTCGTTTGAATCAAAATAGACAGTTTTGTATACATGTATATAAAAATATTGAATGCACGTCCATCCCACTATAGAGGTCCACCTTTTCCTTAGGTAAAACTGGATCAAACTGAAAAAGGAGTTTTTTATAAACCCCCAGCACGGTATGTACCAAGGACCGCCAGAAATGATTGCTCACCTCATAGAACACTTTGTGCGGCTTGAAGACAGCGGCTTGAGGTCTGACGGTGGGTCAACCCGCTTGGTGTAGATGGGAACTGCAAGAAAGTTAATGCAGCTTGCCATATACCAGAAAATAACAAAGACAAGGTCAGTATTACATAAACCCCCAGCATGGCATGCACCAAAGATAGCCAGAAATGAATGCTCACCTCATAGAACACTTTGTGCAGCTTGAAGACAGCGGCTTGCGGTCTGACGGTGGGTCAACCCGCTTGGTGTAGATGGGAACTGCGAGAAAGTTAATGCAGTTTGCATATACCAGAAAGTAACAAAGACAAGGCCAGTATTACATAAACCCCCAGCATGGCATGCACCAAAGACAGCCAGAAATGATCGCTCACCTTATAGAACACTTTGTGCGGCTTGAAGACAGCGGCTTGCGGTCTGACGGTGGGTCAACCCGCTTGGTGTAGATGGGAACTGCGAGAAAGTTAATTCAGCTTGCCATATACCAGAAAATAACAAAGACAAGGCCAGTATTAAATAAACCCCCAGCATGGCGTGCACCAAAGGCAGCCAGAAATGGTTGCTCACCTTATAGAACACTTTGTGCGGCTTGAAGACAGCGGCTTGCGGTCTGACAGTGGGTCAACCCGCTTGGTGTAGATGGGAACTGCGAGAAAGTTAATGCAGCTTGCCATATACCAGAAAATAACAAAGACAAGGTCAATATTACATAAACCCCCAGCATGGCATGCACCAAAGACAGCCAGAAACGATTGCTCACCTCATAGAACACTTTGTGCGGCTTGAAGACAGCGGCTTGTGGTCTGACGGTGGGTCAACCCACTTGGTGTAGATGGGAACTGCGAGAAAGTTAATGCAGTTTGCATATACCAGAAAGTAACAAAGACAAGGCCAGTATTACATAAACCCCCAGCATGGCATGCACCAAAGATAGCCAGAAATGAATGCTCACCTCATAGAACACTTTGTGCAGCTTGAAGACAGCGGCTTGCGGTCTGACGGTGGATCAACCCGCTTGGTGTAGATGGGAACTGCGAGAAAGTTAATTCAGCTTGCCATATACCAGAAAATAACAAAGACAAGGTCAATATTACATAAACCCCCAGCATGGCATGCACCAAAGACAGCCAGAAACGATTGCTCACCTCATAGAACACTTTGTGCGGCTTGAAGACAGCGGCTTGTGGTCTGACGGTGGGTCAACCCGCTTGGTGTAGATGGGAACTGCGAGAAAGTTAATGCAGTTTGCATATACCAGAAAGTAACAAAGAAAAGGCCAGTATTACATAAACCCCCAGCATGGCATGCACCAAAGATAGCCAGAAATGAATGCTCACCTCATAGAACACTTTGTGCAGCTTGAAGACAGCGGCTTGTGGTCTGACGGTGGGTCAACCCGCTTGGTGTAGATGGGAACTGCAAGAAAGTTAATGCAGCTTGCCATATACCAGAAAATAACAAAGACAAGGTCAATATTACATAAACCCCCAGCATGGCATGCACCAAAGACAGCCAGAAACGATTGCTCACCTCATAGAACACTTTGTGCGGCTTGAAGACAGCGGCTTGTGGTCTGACGGTGGGTCAACCCGCTTGGTGTAGATGGGAACTGCGAGAAAGTTAATGCAGTTTGCATATACCAGAAAGTAACAAAGACAAGGCCAGTATTACATAAACCCCCAGCATGGCATGCACCAAAGGCAGCCAGAAATGATTGCTCACCTTATAGAACACTTTGTGCGGCTTGAAGACAGCGGCTTGCGGTCTGACAGTGGGTCAACCCGCTTGGTGTAGATGGGAACTGCGAGAAAGTTAATGCAGCTTGCCATATACCAGAAAATAACAAAGACAAGGTCAATATTACATAAACCCCCAGCATGGCATGCACCAAAGACAGCCAGAAACGATTGCTCACCTCATAGAACACTTTGTGCGGCTTGAAGACAGCGGCTTGTGGTCTGACGGTGGGTCAACCCGCTTGGTGTAGATGGGAACTGCGAGAAAGTTAATGCAGTTTGCATATACCAGAAAGTAACAAAGACAAGGCCAGTATTACATAAACCCCCAGCATGGCATGCACCAAAGATAGCCAGAAATGAATGCTCACCTCATAGAACACTTTGTGCAGCTTGAAGACAGCGGCTTGCGGTCTGACGGTGGGTCAACCCGCTTGGTGTAGATGGGAACTGCGAGAAAGTTAATGCAGCTTGCCATATACCAGAAAATAACAAAGACAAGGTCAATATTACATAAACCCCCAGCATGGCATGCACCAAAGACAGCCAGAAACGATTGCTCACCTCATAGAACACTTTGTGCGGCTTGAAGACAGCGGCTTGTGGTCTGACGGTGGGTCAACCCGCTTGGTGTAGATGGGAACTGCGAGAAAGTTAATGCAGTTTGCATATACCAGAAAGTAACAAAGTCAAGGCCAGTATTACATAAACCCCCAGCATGGCATGCACCAAAGATAGCCAGAAATGAATGCTCACCTCATAGAACACTTTGTGCAGCTTGAAGACAGCGGCTTGTGGTCTGACGGTGGGTCAACCCGCTTGGTGTAGATGAGAACTGCAAGAAAGTTAATGCAGCTTGCCATATACCAGAAAATAACAAAGACAAGGCCAGTATTACATAAACCCCCAGCATGGCATGCACCAAAGATAGCCAGAAATGAATGCTCACCTCATAGAACACTTTGTGCAGCTTGAAGACAGCGGCTTGCGGTCTGACGGTGGGTCAACCCGCTTGGTGTAGATGGGAACTGCGAGAAAGTTAATGCAGTTTGCATATACCAGAAAGTAACAAAGACAAGGCCAGTATTACATAAACCCCCAGCATGGCATGCACCAAAGACAGCCAGAAATGATCGCTCACCTTATAGAACACGTTCTGCGGCTTGAAGACAGCGGCTTGCGGTCTGACGGTGGGTCAACCCGCTTGGTGTAGATGGGAACTGCGAGAAAGTTAATTCAGCTTGCCATATACCAGAAAATAACAAAGACAAGGCCAGTATTAAATAAACCCCCAGCATGGCATGCACCAAAGGCAGCCAGAAATGATTGCTCACCTCATAGAACACTTTGTGCGGCTTGAAGACAGCGGCTTGCGGTCTGACAGTGGGTCAACCCGCTTGGTGTAGATGGGAACTGCGAGAAAGTTAATGCAGCTTGCCATATACCAGAAAATAACAAAGACAAGGTCAATATTACATAAACCCCCAGCATGGCATGCACCAAAGACAGCCAGAAACGATTGCTCACCTCATAGAACACTTTGTGCGGCTTGAAGACAGGGGCTTGTGGTCTGACGGTGGGTCAACCCGCTTGGTGTAGATGGGAACTGCGAGAAAGTTAATGCAGCTTGCCATATGCCAGAAAATAACAAAGACAAGGTCAGTATTACATAAACCCCCAGAAGGCATGTACCAAGGACCACCAGAAATCATTGCCCACCTCAGAGAGCACTCCACGCGGCTTGAAGAGAGCGGCCTGCAATTTTTGTTGCTGGGACCTGCAATATATTTAATACAGCCCGCCGTATACTACAAAGACAAAGCCATAAGCCTACAGCACAACATGTCCCAAGGACCACTACAAATGCACGCTCACCTCATGGAACACTCCATGTGGCTTAAAGAGAACGGCTCGCCATCTGAAATGGTGCGTGCACCTGCTTGGTGCAGCTGGGACCTGCAATAAAATTAGTACAGCTTGCCATATACCACAAAGTAACAAAGACAAGGCCAGTAATACATAAGCCTAAAGCACGACATGTCCCAAGGATTGCTAGAAATGCTTGCTCACCTCATAAAGCACCCCATGCGACTTGAAGAGAGCGGCTTGCAACCTGAGGGTGAGTGCACCTGCTTGGTGCAACTGGAACCTGCAGTCAAATACAGCTTGCCTTATACCCACAAAGTTACAAAGACAAAGACCAATATTACATAAGCCTCCAGCATGAAATATCCCAAGGACCACTAGAAACGCTTGCTGAGGTCATAGAACTCTCCATGCGGCTTGAAGAGAGCGGCTGGCAACCTTTGGATAGTACCTACGGGTTCATTTCCCTTCCTTGGTGAGCCTGAGCACTTTCGGATAAATGCTGCTCTTTGCGGTATGGCATGGTGCACACCTGGTACCTCTTTTGAAGTTTATCTGGCCAAAGTACCTATAACAAAAATATAACAATTCGGTCACACACTGCAGTAGCCAGCAATACCACAGCAATGGCAAACGTTAGATAAGTGAATAAACATAAAATTATGTTTACTAACCAAAATAGGTTAATTACCTTCTTAAGTATAGTATAATGGGCTATACTGCAATTGCAATTTTAAACGGAGACATTATTTAAGCCCAACCTAAATGAAACAATTTTGTGAAAAAGCAGCAAGTTCTGAGGTAATCCATGTTTTTTGGAAATCGCCGGTTAGAGTTTTGGGGTCAGATTACTCTCTTTAAAATTGCAATGGCGAAGAGGCCCATTAAACCGCTAAATAATAATAATAATATTCATAATAATAAAATACATTTATTGTATCTAGCGCACATCAGTTAGCATGACGGGCACATCAAAGCCAACATGAGGATTGTGGGATATGCCACCCCCTAAAATTAACAGTCCAACATAGCTATACTTTGAGCCCGAGTGCAAAGTGAAACAACTATATGCAGACGTCATTAGGATGTCACGGGTGTCATACGACACAGTTAGATGCAGACACACACATGCACATGCACACCAACATATGCAAATGCAACGTTAGGTTTGAAAATAGCCACTGTAAAAAAGAGGAAGCAATTATAACCTCGTCAAGAAAAAAATCATGCACTAATGATAAATAAACGTAACTATACTAAACACAAATAATGCAACTATACTAAACACAATATCATTAAACCGAGTCCAAAGGGGAAGTGTCACGGCAGGGGTGTCTGAAGCTACACAAGTGTAATCTACAGTGAAATAGGAAAATAAAACTAAAAAGCTATGTAATTAAACAGTGACTTTACAATTTTTGGTTAATTAGCAAACATATTTTTACGTTTATCCGCCTGTCTAATGTCCGCCGAGCCCTACAATTATACAGTGAGGACGGCATCCACATATCTATCACCTTCATTTTCCTTTACAATCCGTTCAAGATTACAAAAAAAAAAAAAAAAACATATCACAAGAAGTTTTAGACGTCATTTCAGCTGTCTAATGACTCAGGTGTGCAAATGAATGAACAGTACTCATCAATGAGAAATGAAACAAGAAAGCGCAGAAAAGTAAATAATAAAATATAAACTTCTGCGAAGCCGATCAGCCGTTGGGTATGCTGAGCTAATTATCACGATTTCGCGAAATGTTCACCCCTAAACTGACAGTGCGGTGGCAGCTGCTTGTTCGTTTGACCAGTCAACTGTCGATTCTGCACAACGTGATCACCGCCTCTCCGCATACTCAAGGGCCATACGCACATTCGCGTTTGAACGCGTTTGAGTGCGTTGCGGAGTCCTTGCGGCCAGGCGCGGTCGCTTGCAGAACGACGCGTGCCTTTCCGCAACGCTCGGTAGCGCGACGCAAGCGAGTAGAGACTCGCTCAACTTTCCGAAGCGTTGCGGTGCGTTCGGGTGCGTTCGACCAATCAGGAGCCGAAAGAGGAGAGGGGGTGACGTGTTCGCTCGCCCCACCCGGCCGACTCGGCGAGACGTATCCGGTTCGCCGTTCGCAGTGCTTGCTTTTTCGTTTTGGGGAGCGGTGGGGACTGTATTTTCCAAGGCTGCGATGGTTCAAGCCTGACAAAACGTCGGGGAAGCCGGCGAGATTGTCCCAAGATCGAACACCGACGCCGTCACCGTGCGCCGCCATGTTGCCTTGGATTTCGCTTACTATTGGTGAGCCACTAGCGACGATAGCGCGTTCTTATTGGCTCTTGACTGCGGTTGACTGCGTGTCAACGCAACTGTGCGTACAAGCTTGGCGCAAGCGGTCTTCGCAACGCAACGCGTCCGCTTGCCGCTACGGAACGCACCGCGCTCAAACGCGAATGTGCGTATGGGCCTTAAAAGCTCTTGCTTAGATACTTAGGTAGTCCGCACCCGGTGCATAGTCCGCGTGCCGTGCATAGTCGGCACCTGGTGCTTAGTCGACACGAAAATCTTATAGACGGCACACCTTGACACATGTCTGCTTTCTTAGCACACAAAGAAGCCTATAATATACATAAATCATCATTAACGTACTCTTTCACTCAAAATTCGTCACATCTTTCATTTCATTTCATTTATTTTCACCTTAAGGGCCCGGTTAGGGCATTACATAAGGGGGGTATATACATGTTATACAAACAAGAAAAGGAAGAAACACAAGCCAATTTACACATCCAGGTCAAGCTCATTAATCGTACAAACTGGTAAAAAATACTAATAACAAGAAAAATGAATCCGTAAGCTTGACAGAAATACTTCTGGGTCCACGATGGTGACGATGGAGGATGGTAGGCTGTTCCAGTCGGAGATGGCTTGAGGAAGGAAAGACTGATTGAATGCGTTTGTGAAACCGGAAACACGTTTGATTGTGCAAGAGTTGTTAAGACGAGAAGACGTTCTGTCAGGAGGTGATAACAAAGAGTTCTTGAGGTCGGGGCAATGATAGTAGACTTTCTGAAGAAGACAGAGGCGAGAGAGTTTTCTGCGGAGCTGCAAAGAAGACAAGGTTAGTTGACTTTTTAACGCGGATACACTGACAGAAAAATCGTAAGTAGACAAGATGCATCGAGCGGCTCGGTTTTGCACTGCTTCCAGGTGGTTGATGAGGTAGGCCTGATGGGGACTCCAGATGGAAGCTGCATATTCTAATTTTGGTTTGATGAACGTGTCGTACGCCATTTTGCGGACGAGTGGAGGAGCTCTGCGCAGGTTACGTCGGATGAAGCCTAGTGTTCTCGATGAGTCAGCATGTATGGCTTCAATGTGGTTATTCCATGCGAGGTCCGATGTTAGTCTTACACCAAGATATTTATACATTGAAACGGTTTCGATTAGGTCGGAGTCGAGGAAGTACTGATGATATAGGACAGATTTCTTTCTGGTGAAGCGGATTAATTTACATTTGGATTTGTTTAGTGACATCAACCAGGTGTTGCACCATTGGTTAATTTTTAGAAGGTCATCTTGTAGCTGGTTGTGATCATGCACACATGTTACTTTGTTATAGACTACGCAGTCGTCTGCGAAGAGGCGTATTTTAGAGGAAATGGTGGAAGGAAAGTCATTGATAAATATTAGAAAAAAGCAGAGGCCCGAGAACGGAGCCTTGCGGAACACCAGAGAAGACATTTGTTAAAGGGGACTCGTGATCATTGATGACCGTGAACTGTACGCGGGAGGAAAGGAAGTCGCGTATCCATGCAAACACTAAAGGATCAAGGTGGAGAGAGCACAGCTTGGAAAGGAGACGTTGATGGGGGACACGGTCGAAAGCTTTGGAGAAATCAAGAAAGACGGCGTCTGTCTGGGCATGACACTCGAGGTTAGTGTGTAGATCATGAATGAAGTCACAGAGCTGCGTCTCACAGGATAGTCCTTTTTGGAATCCATGTTGATGCTTAAAGAAGAATCTGTTTGTTCTTAAGTGAGTCATGATGTGAGAGTAAAGTATGTGCTCAAGTAGTTTGGATGAGACAGATGTTAAAGATATCGGGCGATAGTTAGAGACAGTAGAGCGAATTCCATGTTTAAAAACCGGGACAACCTTGCCAATTTTCCAGTCTAAAGGAAGGACGCTTTCAGATAAGGACTGATTATATATGAGCGACAAAAATTCACTACAAATAATGCTGGTGTTTTTGAGAATTTTCGAATTTATATTGTCAGGACCAGCGGACGTTGAGAGTTTTAATTTATCTATTAGGTTAACGATACCGGCAGGGTATATACTGATTGGGGGCATTCGTTCGTAAAGCTCTTCAGTGAGAGTAGGAATAGTGGCTAAGCACTCCATAGTGAAAATTGAAGAAAAATAGTCGTTTAGTACTTTAGGGTACTCGCTCTCAGGGTGAGGTCGCCATTTTCATAGGTAAGATGTGCGATAGGGTTATTAGCTTTTGGTGATATTAAGTTCCAGAACTTCTTTGGGTTAGTCCGCAGAATGGTCGGTAAGTCATGGAAGAAGAATTTATTTTTGGACAGCTTAAGGCTCCTGGTGTACTTTCGGAGGCAAGAACTGTAAGCCTCCCAAACTTTGGTCGTATCGATACGTTTGGCCTTCGCAAAGAGTCTCTTTTTTCTATTTCGCAATGAAAGCAAAGTTTTTGTAAACCATGGGTTAGTCGAATCTGTACGAATACGAATCGTAGGAACAAATATTTTCACAAGTTCATTCATTTTTGTTTTAAATAGGACCCAGTTCTCCTCCACCGATCTAAGGTAAAAATTATCAACGTAAGAGTAAAAACAAGTTGTCAACTCACGATATATTGATACATAATCTGCCTTATTATAATCCTGAATGATCTTAGAAATAGGATGATTTATGATAACGGGAAGTGATAAGGTAATCTGCAGTAGTCTGTGGTCGCTTAGCACTTCACAGCAGTGAATATATTTTACGATGTCTGGTGACGTGGTTAGTATCAAGTCTAGGATATTATCTGCACGGGTTGGTTGATCAACTAACTGTGTGAAGTTTAAAGTGAGACACATTTCCAGGAATTGCTTAGATGCTGCTGTACCACCAGAGGATAACTTTGACCAGTCAATGAAAGGAAAATTAAAGTCGCCAAATAACAGCATGTCGGCTTTAGGAAAACGATCTTTAATATCAACGAGAAGAGAGCACAAATCGGTATGGAAGGATGAAGCACAGTCAGGTGGCTTATAGCACACTTCTATGAT